GAGAGCTTTAGTCACCAGGTCACGGGGTACCGTGGCCTTGTGCAAGCACTAAACCAGTGTGGGCCATACTTTCTAATGACTAATTCTAAACAGTAAAACAGAACTTAACGCCAGAGTCGCAGAGGATAAACCCAACACTCCAGCACTAACAGAAACCAGACTCACAACAGTTATAGCACACACAGTATTCCCCCTACGGTACCACATAACACACAGAGAGGGAAATGAACGCCCGTCACGAACGACCAGGATCTTCGGAGAACTGAAGGTACCTGGAAGATAGCCAGTGCGTTAACTACATAGCGGAACTCTAATGACTGGAGGACGTACGTTAATGACGGTAGTTACGTAAGCAGTACAAGGGGAAAAACGAAAGGATTTCATTGTACAGTGCGAATGAGTTACTGAAGAGTTGTGTAATGATGTGCACAGCTTTACCCTGTATCATATAATAATAATAATAATAATAATAATAATAATAATAATAATAATAATAATAATAATAATAATAATAATAATAATAATAATAATAATAATAATGGAGTATAGTGTGTGGAATCAGCGTTAAACTCCCCAGTGTGTGTGTGTATGTGAACTCACTTACATATTGTTGAAGTTGTCGAGTCACAGCTCCTGGCTCCGTCTCTTCGCTGGTCGCTGCTAGGCCCACACTTTCCCTACCCCATGAACTTTATCATACCTCTTCTTAAAGCTACGTATGGATCCTGCCTCAACTACATCACTTCCCAAATTGTTCCACTTCTTGACAACTCTATGACTGAAGAAATACTTCCTAACATCCCTGTTGCGGCCCCTGCCAAACTAGCGGTTAAATAGTTAACCTGCCGGCCGGCAGTACCACTGGGTGCGTCATCAAACCCAATGTGGGGGCTGCTGAGCCGGCCTTAGAGCAGTAAGAGCCTGAGTGCCTCACGGTACACACCTAAGCAGTAGGTACCTGACCACCGAAGGGTACACGTCTACTGGCTTTAGTAACAGTATGTACCAGAGCGCCTCGCTGTACACACCTAAGCAGTAGGTACCTGACCACCGAAGGGTACACGTCTACTGGCTTTAGTAACAGTATGTACCAGAGCGCCTCGCTGTACACACCTAAGCAGTAGGTACCTGACCACCGAAGGGTACATGTCTACTGGCTTTAGAAATATTATGTACCTGAGCGCCTCGCTGTACACACCTAAGCAGTAGGTACCTGACCACCGAAGGGTACACGTCTACTGGCTTCAACATTAAGTACCTGAACCCCTCAGGGTAAAACGTCTATGCAGTAGGTACCTGACCCCCGAATCGTCCCTATCTACTGGCGTTAGAAGAACCGCTCACCGCAGCTCACTGAGTCTGTTGGCCTCAGTTACTTGAGGGCCGCATTCAGTGAGCTTGCAGCATGGTGTTCGGCTAGCGGTGTGTCAACCGCCTTTGGAGAGGATTTACTGGACTACCGGTGATGTCTGTGGACTCACCGTCTACGTTGATCAACTGTGGGCCGGAGTCGTCAGATGCTGTTTAGTGGGACATTACATGAAGAAAGGTTGGAGTGTTACACTGAACTGGGCCAGGACCGTAGTGTGACACTGAGGGACGTACGATGGAGTGGAACACTGAGATATGCACAGGACCGTAGTGGAACACTGAGATGAAAAGGGTGTCGTGGGACACTGAAGATGGCCTTGTTGTAGTGTACACTGAACAGTGTCGTGTGACTGACTTCGTGTCGTGAGAGGCAGTTGATTGTAAATTTATTATTATAAAAATGTTATTTATAATTTATTATTTTAGCATAGAGATATATATATATAGTGACAGTGGTGTCAAGAGTTGTACCCTGTGTAGGGTTATTAATTATATTTTAGTAAAATGCTGATTATAATTTATTATAGTAACATGTACATATTATTATTATATCATAGTTCAAATACCTCTAGACCAAAGATAGTTGATTTTTATATATTAAAGATTAATTTATATTAATGTGTGTATTTATGTATCCCGAACTCTTTATTACAAAAGGAGTAAATCTAATCTCTCTTCATCTTTTAAAAATTACTTTTTTTGTAATAATCCCTGTGACTCATCTGAGTCTTCAATTTCCAATCGTGACTCATTGTTGCTCTGTCCCATTTCTGGACATTCTGTCCCTTTGTTAATTCCTATCACTATTTTATACGCCGTTATCGTGTCTCCCCTATTCCTCCTATCCTCCAGTGTTGTCAGGTTGAGTTCCCTTAACCTTTCCTCATAGGACATGCCTATGAGGATGGTAGTAGCCACTACCATCCACAGGATGGATATGAGGTACACAATAAACTAGCCACTACCATCCACAGGATGGATATGAGGTACACAATAAACTAGCCACTACCATCCACAGGATGGGTATGAGGTACACAATAAACTAGCCACTACCATCCACAGGATGGGTATGAGGTACACAATAAACTAGCCACTACCATCCACAGGATTGATATGAGGTACACAATAAACTAGCCACTACCATCCACAGGATGGGTATGAGGTACACAATAAACTAGCCACTACCATCCACAGGATGGGTATGAGGTACACAATAAACTAGCCACTACCATCCACAGGATGGGTATGAGGTACACAATAAACTAGCCACTACCATCCACAGGATGGGTATGAGGTACACAATAAACTAGCCACTACCATCCACAGGAGGGGATATGAAGTACACAATAAACTAGCCACTACATCCACAGGATGGATATGAGGTACACAATAAACTAGCCACTACCATCCACAGGATGGATATGAGGTACACAATAAACTAGCCACTACCATCCACAGGATGGATATGAGGTACACAATAAACTAGCCACTACCATCCACAGGATGGGTATGAGGTGCACAATCAGCTAGCCGCTTCACCAACAGAACGAAGTATAAACACCGAGCACCATACATATACCGCCTCTCCCACTCATACGTCAACACAGTCTTGGGAAGGGAACTCCAGCCTACACTTACTGTATATAAACAAAACATAACTTACAGACACCATTATGGATTCAGAGGCCAAAGATAACGTATTTTACGAGTGTTACATTACTGTGGCATCAGTGTTTCAACATTACCTGGAGTATACCTTTCGTAGGTTTCGAGGGGTCAACGCCTCCAGTGGCCCGGTCTGTGACCAGGCAAAATCTCTGAGGTTTTGAAGAACAGCCAAAACACAGATGGGGTTTTCAAGCATTTTAGAGAAGGGAAAAGTGGCAAGTGTTATCAGGGAGTGAGGGACCATAACGTGGGATTAACTGGTGTAACAGAAACTGGAGGGAACTGATATCCTCATCTCTGAGAAACAGCACAAAGAGTATTGGTTATCAGAGCAAAAGTCCATCACAGTAACTGAGTATGAAGATGAATGGTTCAGAGAACCGACATGTTGATAAATTAGACACATGTGCAACTCTTGGGTATCTTTATTGAGGAAACGTTTCGCCACACAGTGGCTTCATCAGTCCATACGTAGGAGAAACTTCAAGTTTCTCCTACGTATGGACTGATGAAGCCACTGTGTGGCGAAACGTTTCCTCAATAAAGATACCCAAGAGTTGCACATGTGTCTAATTTATCAGTAACTGAGTATTCCTGAGACATAACCCATAAAGCATTCAGGACCCATAACTCATGTTTATTAACTATAACTCATTACTACTAACCCATAACTCAGTACTATTAACTAATAACTTATTACTAAAAACCCATAACTCATTACCATCAACCCATAACTTATTACTATTAACCCACAACTCATAACTAATAACCCATAAGCCATCTTAAACTTGCTACCTAACTAACAATACTAGAAACAAGTTTTTAACATAACTTTTGATTCAGTTTAACTCTTGTGAGAGGGAATTAAATGCTAAGTATTCTCGTGATCACTTTATTAAATTCTGGAATGTGATTATTGTATTTAGTAAGACAATGTTTGTAGTATACATAACTTGTCTGATTATATACACACACACACACACACACACACACACACACACACATATAAATATTATATATATTATATATATATATATATATATATATATATATATATTATATATATGCAAAACAACCACTGTGAAAGAATAGAGAAAATCCAAGCGCTTTCGTGACTACTCACATTATCAAGGAACAATTGTTCCTTGATAATGTAAGTAGTCACGAAAGCGCTTGGAATTTCTCTATTCTTTCATCGTGGTTGTTTTGCAGAAACTCTTCATAAGTATTACCTTGCTCACACTCCAACAGCACGTCAAGTCCTAAAAACCATTTGTCTCTATTTGCTCCTGTCTAATACGGTCACACATGGAAGTCCAAGCCCCTCGCATACAAAACCTCCTTTACCCCCTCCCTCTAACCTTTCCTAGGCTGACCTCTACGCCGCCTTCCCTCCACTACAGAGTTATACACTCTCGAAGTCATTCTATTTTGTTCCAGCCTTTCTACATGTCCGAACCACCTCAACAGCCCCTCCAAACTACGAATTCTCTGCATTATATTCACACCACACACTGCCCTCAGACACGACATCTCCACTGCCTCCAGCCTTCTCCTTGTTGCAGCATTCACCACCAATGCTTCACACCCATATAAGATCTTTCAACATTATTGCTACCCCTTCCTTAGTTCTAACAATCAGATACTCCTGACTTAATCTCATTTATTTCTCCCCACTGAAACTCCTCTACCCCCTTCAGCTTTGTTTCTGTTAGAGCCACGACATCCAACTTCTTTTCATTTATAACATTAGTAATCATCTCTTTCTTATCATATATATATAACTGCTATCACCACATGCACTACAACCACCATACACACACACAACCACCACAACCACCATAACTACCACCATCACAACTACCAGGATCACCACAACTACCACCACACTGGCTCACCGTCACTACAAAATCACCCAACAAACCATTGGCTGGTCAGTATGGAAGAGAGAGCGGTGGAGGGAGGGTGTGCAGCTCTCTCAACCTCTCTCACTCTCTCTCATAACAACTGTGCCCCTTCTCTCGTAGAAATCACGCCTATATTTCTCACATCTCTCTCAGTGATCAGACACAGCCACACACATCTCCTGTCAGATATATATAATACAGTGGAAAAAGTATGCCATAGCGTGTTGTAATCAGCTATATGGGATTTAAAGAAATTTGGAAGTGTTATTGAGCCCTGAGTCTGAGACCCTGACTAGGCCAGGACAGCCCCATCCTTCAGGGTTTTCCCTGCACACCAGAGGCCAGGGAAAAAACAGCCTCCCTATCCATCATCTCGGGCAAAAAGCCTGACCCTCGTCAGTACAACGGTACCAGAATAACAATACAGGTACTGAGGGTAGCGAGGCGGTACTCTTTAAAGCTCACCTCAGCCAATCAAGGGAGGAAGTAAAGAGTCATCTTCCATGGTGATCTTGAGTGGCGAGCATCACCACTATCGCCAACCACTCGCCAACAAACAATCTCCATCGGGGTGGAAGGGGGGAAGAGGAGACGGTGGAAGTATTCGAGCCAGCCTCCCTTAAATCGTTGTACAGCATACCTGGTCTGCGTCCCTCGAATACCAGTTGATTAAACGCAAAATGCAGCCTCATTCGGGTGGCTTGCAGTTCCGGGATAGCAGGAGCGAGGCAGCAGCAGCAGCAGCAGCAGCAGGAGAGCAGAGCAGAGCTGCGCAAGAACATTCAGACATGACAAGAGGTTAGCAGTGCTTCCAGGGCAGAGATGCTTCCTCCATGTTGGCTCTCATGCAGGTAAGGTCGACATTACCTTGTGACTGATACAGCCACACTACACCAACCCACACTACACCAGCCCACACTACACCACCCACACACCCAACCCACACTACACCAACCCACACTACACCAACCCACATACACCAACCCCACTACACTAACCCAACTACACCAACCACACACTACACCAACCCACACTACACCAACCCACACTACACCAACCCACACTACACCAACCCACACTACACCAACCCACACTACACCAACCCACACTACCAACCCACACTACACCAACCCACACTACACCAACCCACACCACCAACCCACACCACAATCCCACACTACCCATCCCAAAACCAAACACTACACCTCACCAGACTACACCAACCATAAACTCCAACCCACATTACACCAACCCACCTCACCAACCACCTTACACCAACCACAACACAACCACGACATACAACCCACTACACCAACCTCCTACACCAACCACACTTTCCTTTTGCTTCATTCTAGAACCTAGAACAGGAGTCCTCTCCAGGTTAACGTCAACTCTATAAATCTTGGAATAAAGGTCTATTTTGATGAAGTGCGCTAAAGTTCTGGTACCATTTACAGAATGACAATACGCTAGAATGAAGTCGGTATGTATTAGGTAAGCTTTCCTCGAGGGTATAGCTGAGGGTTTGTAATCCCTCTGGAAGTTAGAATTAGGAAGTATACTTAGATGTGAAATTGGAAGACAGGAGGTAAGTAGGGGATATGTAGACTAAAGTCACACAGACCGGGTGACTCCCAGGATGGTTTGAAGTTTAGGACTTTGCTATGAGAGCACACGGTTGGTCATAGTTCTGGATGAGTGGAAAAACTCCCGATGTGCAGCTTATTGAAGCCTGAAAACTTGTGTAGCTTTAAAAATGGGTTAGACAAGTACATGAGTGTTCCCGTGTGTCAGCTCGATTGTAGTGCACTCAGCTCACACATTCAGGTCCGGGTCGATCCCCGGTACGGGTGGAAGCATTAGGGCTTGTTTCCATGACACCTGTGTCCAGTGTTCCCCTGCATTTTAAAATAATCCCCCCTGGCTATTAGTCGAGGGTATGAATCGCTTGGGAAAAAATTGACGTAATTTACCGATATGCTCTGCATAAAAAGGGGTTTTCTATATAGTAGTAGTGTGATGTCAGCTATGGTTTATAATTTGTAAATGTACTTGTGAAATAAAGAGTTTTTTTTATTATGAGTAGGGGGGGGTGAGTTAAACCTACTAGCTGGGCCATAAAAAAATCATCCCACGGGTGGGGATAAACTAGCGGTCAGGAACCCAAAAAAAACCCCAGACCGACGTGCTACCCAATGGGCCAGGTGGCTACAGTAAAATTCACCCAACTAGGTATTTTTTAAAACCCCATAGGAAGGTTAGATAGGCACCACTTTTGACCACGATTTCGTGTCGGGGCCCCAGTGGGCCCTGCCACAGTGCTCCATTTCCTCTGTTCTGGTTTTTAGTTGTTACCACGAGTGGTTTGTTCTTCGTTTCCTTTAAAATTATCGTTTTCCCCCTTCATTCCCCCAAAACAGTTTTGATTTAAAACATTGAGTGTTTGTACTTGTGTTTTCACGCGCTCCCGACTCCCGAGGATAATGTACCTCTGTTAAATACGCTGATATACGCCTCCCCGTGTTATTTCTGAATCATTTAGTGTTATACGCGGGTTTCTTTAATTCCCTTTTAGATAATTTATTCTTGATGGTAAAGAACTCGTGACAACAGTCTTAATGCCCCTGGGTAGTGATGGTAGTGTAAGGTGACAGTTTAAGCCCGGGTGTATGACGGTAGTGAAGGTGACAGTCCTAATGCCCCTGGTGTAGTGATGGTAGTGTACAGGTGACAGTTTAATGCCCCGGTGTAGTATGGTAGTGTACAGGTGACAGCCCTAATGACCCTGGTGTAGTGATGGTAGTGTAAGGTGACAGCTTAAGCCTGGTGTAGTGTAGTAGTGTACAGGTAAAAAAGTCTTAATGATCGGGTTGTGTGACTGGTAGTGTAAGGTGACGTCTTATGCCCCGGTGTATGATAGTAGTTACAGGTGCTCTTAATTCCGGGTTATGATTATGTAAGGGTACATTTTTAAATTTACCCGGTGTAGGGACTAGTAGTGTACAGGTGACATTTTTAAGCCCCCGGTTAGTATGTATGAAAGGTTTACATTTTAAAATGCCCGGGTGTATGATGGTAGTGAAAGGGGACGTTTTTAAGGGGACCTGGTGTGTGATATAGTGTCAGGTGACGTTTTAATGCCCCTGGGTTTGTGACTATAGTGTACAGGTGACAGTTTTAATGTCCGGGTTTGTATGACGGTAGTGACGGTGACAGTTTTAAATGCCCGGGGTGTAGTGACTGTAGTGTACAGGTGACAGTCTTAATGATCCTGGTGTAGTGACTGGTAGTGTACAGGTGACAGTCTTAATGACCCTGGTGTAGTGACTGGTAGTGTCAGGGACAGTCTTAATGACCCTTTTTGTTTTTGGGGTAGTGTACAGGGACAGTTTTAAATGACCCTGGTGTAGGATGTAGTTACAGGTGACAGTCTTAATGATCCTGGTGTAGTGACTGGTAGTGTACAGGTGACAGTCTTAATGACCCTGGTGTAGTGACTGGTGGTGTACAGGTGACAGTTTTAATGACCCTGGTGTAGTAACTGGTGTCCAGGTAACATACAGGCTTAATGACCCTCGTGTAGTAGGTAAGTTTTATGCCCTATTAACCAACGATACTGTCCCTGTCTAGCACACTTCGCCAGCCTTCATAAGGCTAAATCTTACATTCGCATTGAAACTGGGTTGGGTAAAGGCTTCCCCAGAGTCTGGGAATTTTGTCCACCAGGGGGGAAAATTAAACCACCCTGTTTGGGGTTTTATTGGTTTCCGGGGTTATTCCCCCCTTCCCCCGTGTCGTATTTTTGGGTTATAGGATTATTAACCGAAAGGAGATACCAGGAGGAACAGTGTTGCCAGTATTGAGGACACAGTTCACGGCGGGAAGGGAGGCCCAGAGATGGAACAGTGTTGTTCAGTGTTGACGGTATGTTCGGGGCGGAGAGGTACCAGAGTGGGCAGCTTGTTCATTGTTGAGGACACTGTTCATGCGGAAAGGTACGGAAATGGAAGTGTTCCTCAATGTTGACGCATTGTTCAGGAAAGGAGTTTATTCAGCTTGTAAAATACACATAAAGCAATGAGGGAAAACCCCCCATGATTACTAAATATGTATCACTGGAGCGAGGAGAGAGAGATACATGATAATATATACCTGAAAAGTACTCAAGGGGGGGTTGTTCAAAATCTGCACATGCCATAAAAATTTCTGAGGGAGATATGGGAGGAAGTACAAAATAAACCCCGTGAAAAGTAGGAACGCCCCGGGGGACAAAAAGAAAACACTGTTAAAAGCGTGGTCCGACGTTAAATCTTACCAGGGGTTTCAGAACATGCTGGGCGTGCAGTCTTCAAGAGGAAATGGACAAGTATCCATCAAAGGATGTCAACCGGCTGTGTGATATATTTGGCCCGGTTAAAGTAAACCACACTAAAATTTGCCCAATTAAATAGCTTAATCCAGCCCTAACCCGCCTAATTAAAACCTTAACCCAACCTAACCTTCCCCCAAACCCACCAAACCCCAACCCCCCCCCCCCCACTAACCTAAACCTAACCAAGCCTTAAATTAACCAACCTAACCTCGATAGCCTGTCTAAGTAGTGTTTAGTCAAAATTTTTTTTCCAGGCGAGAAAATACCCCACTCAGTACCCATCAGTACTACCACGTTTTCCCACCACCCACCTACCCGGTACTACCCACGCTCCTACCAGCATTTACCCAAGCATACCCCCTTCCCTCCCCCCTACCCGAGCCAGATTCACAGCTAAACACATACCAACGTTAAGCAAATCAAATCAAATTTTTTGAGTTAAATAGCGCCATGACGGGACAAAATTTTCCCTGTTGGATTCGGTACCCGAGTGGTGTTCCAGTTCTGAACCAGTGATAAACCTGATTTCCCGGGTTCTGGATACTGGTGAGTGTTCCAGTCCTGAATAATGATAAAAACCCGATTACCCGATTTGGATACCTGAGTGAGTGTTCCCGTCTCTGAACTAAAGATAAAAATGATTACGGATTCTGGATACCCCGAGGAGTGTTCCAGTCTCGAACAAAGATAAAACCCGATTACGGATTTGGATACCTGAGTGAGTGTTCCAGTCTCTGGAACCCGTGATAAAACCCGATTACCGGTTCTGGATACCCGAGTGGTGTTCCAGTCTCTAACCGTGTAAAATGATTACCCGGGTTTGGATACCCGAGTGAGGTTCCAGTCTCTGAACCGGATAAAACCCGATTACCCGGGTTCTGGATACCTGGTGAGTGTTCCAGTCTCTGAACCAATGATAAATGATTACCCGGGTTTTGGTACCTGAGTGGTGTTCCAGTCTCTGAACCAATGATAAACCTGATTACCGGTTCTGGATACCTGAGTGGTGTTCCCGTTTTTGAACCAAAGATAAAACCCGTTCCCGGTTTGGTACCTGAGTAGTGTTTCCCGTTCTGAAAATAATGTAAACCTGATTACCGGATTTGGATACCCGAGTGGTGTTCCAGTCTCTGAAATAATGATAAACCCCGATTTTCCGGATTTTGGAACCTGGGTGGTGTTCCCTCTTGAACCAATGATAAAACTGATTACCGGATTCTGGGTACCTGAGGGGAGTGTTCCAGTCTCTGAACAATGATAACCCGATTACCCGGGTTCTGGATACCTGAGTGGGTTCCCGTTCTGAAATAATGATAAAATGATTTCCCGGGTTTGGATACCCGAGTGAGTGTTCCCGTCTCTGAACCAAAGTAAACCCCGATTTCCGGATTCTGGACCTGAGTGAGGGGTTCCCGTCTCTGAACCATGATAAACCCGATTCCGGTTTTTGGGTACCCGAGTGGTGTTCCAGTTTGAAAT